CATAAAATCTTAAGAATTAGAGGAGACCATAAGCCCTTTTCTTCATTTTCAACTCCACAGGATATGGTTTTGGTTTTTTTTTTTCTTTTTCATATGTGTGTTTGGTTCTCAGTATGAAAAATGCAATACAATACCTGCCAAGACAAGTCTTCTTTTTTTTTTTTCTGGATATTTTAGAGTTTTATTTCCAAGGCCCCCAGAGAGATTGCTTTTCACAAACAAAAACCATTTGATTATATAATAGTGATCTAAGTGTAAAGACATGACTGGTTTTTTTCTTGGTAAATTCATCACAAAAGATGAACAGTGCTTCGGCCAACCATGGGGACGCTCCCAAGCCGTGAATGAATTGGCTGTAGACCTTAAGCAGTCAGATCCATCTACTGTTTTCCAATAAGCGCCTAGAAGGCAGGGTATTTGAGTTCAACTACGCTCTATTCATTCAACAACCAATTCACGTAACTCTTTGAGCATCTCTCTTAAAGGAGATGATCATCTACTTCACCAGAGAATATGAGGGAAGACAAATGCCAGATTGACTGACGATACTTCCAGCCCACAGGGGAAAAAGCAATGAAAATAAGTGGCTGTGTTCATAGAAGAACAGTGTACTTCAAATCCATTCCACTCTCCCAAACTACATGCGCAGCAAGGCTGGGTGGGAACACATTATTTTATTTTACATCAAAGCCGCCAAAAAGAGGCTGAAACACTTTTAAATCTATTCTTCTTTTTTAATTTTTTGTTTTTACATTTATTCATTTTTGAGAGACAGAGTGAGACAGAGCACAAGCAGGGGACGGGCAGAGAGAGAAGGAGACACAGAATCTGAAGCAGGCTCCAGGCTCCCAGCTATCAGCATAGAGCCTGACGCAGGGCTCGAACTCACAAACCGTGAGATCATGACCTGAGCCCAAGTCGGATGCACAACCAACTGAGCCACCCAGGCGCCCCCACTTTTAAATCTAACTACTGATGACTGCATCTCCAATAATTTGATATTACAAGTAACAACAAAAGCCCCTCTTTCTCACAGCCTCTGTGCGCTTAAACAGACCAACGGCTGTCTGTTGTTTGTTTTTATCAAAAGTAAATAAAAGGCTCACTGACACTGTAGCACACACTTCTCTGACAACTGTATGTGTGTGTGTGCGCATGCGTGTGTGTGTGTCAATTCCTAATTTCTGGTTTATCTATTTAGTTAACCTTTGCTATTTTCTGGGCTTCATTCCAAGACAACTAAAATGCATTACTAAAATTGGCATCTCTGCTATTGAGTTTAATTTCAGAGAGGTTCTGAAATGGTCTGAAACCATTTTTTTAATATTCTGCACACAACTTTATGCTAAAAAGTAACAAATGTTGGTCAAGACAAGTAATTGATAGGAAAGGTGCAATTTTGTTTTCCTCCAAAACAATTTTTACTTCCTCCAAATATACTGAAAAGAGAGTAAGTGCAGTGCTAAGGCCACATGTTTCGGTTGCAGTGTCATAAATATTGCCTTCAAGTTGAACATAATTCCTTAGAGTGAGAGATGATCTAAATATTTACATATAAACCATACATTTCTGAACTCTTTTATAAGCCTTTTTCTCTTTTTTTCAAGTTTATTTATTTTGAGAGAGACAGTGAGAGCCCTCTCTCTGAGAGAGGGAGAATCCCACGCAGGCTTGCAGGCAGATCAGTGGGCAGAGCCTGAGGTGGGGCTTGAAACTCATCAAACTGTGACATCATGACCTGAGCTGAAATTAAGTCAGGCGCTTAACCAGTTGAGCCACCCAGGCGCCCCAAGCGTTTTTCTCTTGATTTGGGGTGGGAAAACCCTAAAAGCACAAGTCATAAATGCATATAAACAAATGCTCATGAAATTATGAATCTACTAATGTTTGTGACATGTTAAAGAGTCACAGAATTATACATTTTTAAGTTGGAAAATACCTGAAGTATTTTAAAAGGCCCCTAGAATATTAACTCAACCCTCTAATTCGACAGATGAGGAAAATGAGGCCCAGAGAGGTGAAGCTAACCACAGCTGTCACGGATAATAAATGGCAAATCATGTCAAAATCCAGATATTCTGACTCTGAAAGAGTATTTGTTTCAATATACCTTAATACGTACAGAAATTCGTGTTAACAGAGGGCATTCCAGGCAGCCCCTCAACAGAAGGAACTCTCAGGCTTAACAGAGCCAGCCTGTTTGCAAACACAAGTTCTAGAAATAGCACCAGCAACAACCGATTTCTTAGACGGCCTCACCGTACCTGGGGTTCCCAATGATTCCTCAGTTAGGTCTATTTTTCTCACCTCTACGAATCCCTTTAAATAAGTGCTTTGGTCGGGATTGGGTTTATTTTGTTTCGCTTTTTACATTTGCTTGCGGAGAGCGGGAGAGGGGGAAAAAGAGAAGCTGGCATTTAAACCACCCCTGAAGCACAAGTTTGTTCTTTGGGCAGCCAAACCAACAAACCCTTCCCCGAGCCCCAGGGCTTACTGGTTTATGTCGCAGTCCTTTCAGTTTCCAAAGTAGGAAGGAGACCTGGAAAAGAAGTTGGCTGGGTGGCGCAGCCTTTCGGTGGCGCAGCCTTTCGGTGGCGCCTGGCAGGTGCGCGCCCACGTGCGGCCGGCGACCGACAGCCGCGCGTCCCTGTCTTCCGCCCGCCCCGGGAGCCTCCCGCTCCCCGGCCGGGGGGGGGGGGGGGGGGGGGGGGGGGCCAGAGCCCCTGCCGCCCCTCCTGGCGCCGCCGGGCTGTCCCCTGACTCCCGGCCCCCAAATGGCCCGCGGGCTCCCCGCCGGCCACGCGGGCCCCAGCGTCCCGCTCCTCCAGTGTCCGAGAGCGGGAAAGGTGGCAGTAAGGGGTGCAGGAGAGAGAAGCGGGTCCCACCTCGTTGCCGGGGTCCAACCCACACAGAAGGCAGAGATGGCGGCGGCGGGGCTCCGGCCCCTGCGTCGCTCGCGCTCTGCGGGCCGCGCGGGCTCTGCGGCGGGGCAGCTCCGAACTCCTCGCCCAAGGTGCCGGACAACTCTCCGGAGGGCGCAGGGCAGCGGAGTGTGGGGAGGAGGGGCCGAGGGGGAGCGCGTGGGGTGGGGAGAAGGGAGAAAAGAGCCCGCGCGCGCCCCGCGCCCTGGTCCCCAGCTCCGGGTCGGGGGCAGCGGACCCCAGCGCCGAGGGCGGCCGTGCAGGTGACCGGAGCTGCGAAAAGGAACGTTGCTGCGCGTGGCCGTGGGCCTGGAGCAGCGACGAGCTTGAGAAGGAGGACCCCCTGCCTGAGGGAGGCGGAGAGGCGAGACGATCCCAGCAGGAAGGCGGCGCCGCTGCTACATTCAGCAGTTAGCTGCTGCGCGCCCACCGCAGCCCCAGCTGGGGCTTCTCAGACTCCCGGCTGGGCCTAGGGGTTCCAGCGGGGTTCCTCCCACTCCCAGACTTGCGGGCCTCTGCTGCATCAGGGGCGCAAAATGCTACAGCAAAGATTGCAATAACTGAGAGGGGTGGGAGAGGAAAGCAAATTGGCAAAGGGCGGAGGTAGTGAGTTTCCTGTCACCAAGTCACCAAGGATGTTCCCGCCAAGCATGTTGGTCATGCCTGTCAGGAAGGCTGAAGAGGGCACTTACGCGTCTGTGCGAGGCTGGACTAAATGACCACTTTACTTCTCTTGCAGTCCTGAAATTTAATGGCGTTCGATGTAGCAAGCAAAAAAACCAAGCAAACAAAATCCGTCCTTGAACGGAATACAGCCCCTAAGTAATAGACATTTCATAAGTCTCCACTCAAAACGTTCACTCCCTAATCTGTCTATTTATTAATACACTTTTATTGAAGGCCTACTATGGGTCAGACAACATGCTACATACAATTATGATGTTCCTTCAACTTGGACTAATGACAGACTAGCAAGTGTTCATAACATTACCAGTTATGAGGGGTGATATGAAGGAACCCAACGGGGAGAGAAAGAAAGAATAAAGGGAAGTGGACATACTCTGGATTGGGTGGATGGTTAATTTTCAAAGGTCTCTAGAAATGAACTTGCCTAATACCCTCATAGGAAGATGCATCAGAGACACAGCGAGAAAGTAGCCCAGAGATGGGTAGGGCCAGAAGCAACGTGTCTTGGCTCCTGGCCCAGCTGCTTTATCAACTTGTGAGCTTTGTTAAATGAAACTTGACCCATAGGAATATCCTCTCAGAATCAGTGACACTTTTATGAAGAGCATTTAGATCTCTAGACCACTTGTTGAAGCCACTTCATTCAGAAATTTCCTATTTGTGGGGTGCCTGGGTGGCTCAGTCGGTTGGCTCAGGTCATGATCTCACTGTTGGTGAGTTGGAGCCCCACACTGGGCTCTGTGCTGACAGCTCAGAAACTGGAGCCTGCTTCGGATTCTCTGTCTCCCTGTCTCTGCACCTCTCCTGCTCACGTGCTCCCTCTCTCTCTCAAAAGTAAACACTAAAAAATTTTTTTTAAAGAAAAGAAATTTCCGGGGCGCCTGGGTGGCGCAGTCGGTTAAGCGTCCGACTTCAGCCAGGTCACGATCTCGCGGTCCGTGAGTTCGAGCCCCGCGTCGGGCTCTGGGCTGATGGCTCAGAGCCTGGAGCCTGTTTCCGATTCTGTGTCTCCCTCTCTCTCTGCCCCTCCCCCGTTCATGCTCTGTCTCTCTCTGTCCCAAAAATAAATAAAAACGTTGAAAAAAAATTTAAAAAAAAAAAAAAAGAAAAGAAATTTCCTATTTGCGCCCTGAATGGACTTTCTGGGGCACTGTGGTTAGAAGCATTAACCTTTGGGTTTTATCAAACCACAAAAAAGAGACAAATGTCTCCATTAGATAGAGACAATAATTGGAGTAGAGATACTGACTTCCCCAAATTATTGTGAAATGAAACAACACAACAGAATCCTTAATTAGATAATCCCCTATGAACTAGCATATTCATTTCCTAGGGCTGCCTTAACGAACGACCAGACTAAATGCTTAAAACAAAGGAAATTTATTCTCTCACTCTTCTGAAGGCCAGAACTCCAAAATCAGGTCCGCACTCCTTCCCAAAAGTCTAGGAGGGAAACTTCCCTTGCCTAGTCCAGCTTCTGGTGGCTCCAGGAATTCATTGGCTTATGGCTGCATCACTCCAATCTCTGCCTCCATCTTTGTATGGCCTTCTCCTCCATGTCTTCTTCTCTTCTGTCTCCTACAAGGATACTTGTCATCAGATTTAGGGACCATTCACATAATCCAGGATGATCTCAGCTCAAGATCCTTATTTAATTACAACTGCAAAGACCCTTTTTCTAAATAAGGTCACATTCACAGGTTCTGAGATTTAGAATGTGGACATACTTTGGGGGGGAAGCCACCATTCAACACACTAAGAGGGACCACATTCATTGTCTGCTGTGGTATCAGGGTGTCATTTCAACACCATTATACAAAATCATATTTATACTAAGTATAATCTATCCTTTCATTGCAAGCTACTGCAAATAAGTATCATCAAACCCGAGCATTACGTGGAATAACTACTATCAGGAAAAGAAGTACAGAGGCCCAAGCCCGAAATTCATGTTTGAGTCACAGGTGATACTTAAAGGCCAACCGTGGCTCTCAGCAGCTACCATTGTTAAATTACTACAGAAATACACCCCACATCTGTAGGTATGGATTTCTGATAACGTGATCCAATACTGAATGTCTACTAGGCCGCAAGCTCTCCATCAGGGGCTCCTATGGAGCTTATATTCTAGGTTAGGGGGCAACTTTGAGTCTCATTTCCTCTGGCACAAAGCCTGCTGCATATCTGAAGCCTGATAAAGAGCTGTTGAATGAGTAGATGGGTATAAATAAATCACTACCAATCTTTTAGGCAATTATTACCACACTGAAAAACATGTCTATAATAAGATAGGATTTACTAGAGAAAACAGATTAACACTCTGACTCATTCAGCATTTTCTTGAGTGAAGGAAAAGTCCTTAAAGGAAAAATTTTGATTTGAAAAAGAAAATAATGAGATATCTATTTTCTCTTTTTTAATCAATAATATGCCTATTTACACAGAAACAGATCCTGCTGGGAACAGTCAATCATGACTGAAGTAATAGTTACTTAAAATGAATAAAATATTTTGTCTAAGTATTTGGTTGATAGTTTCAAAAACAAACATTATTCAACTAGTAATTTCATAATATTGATGCATCACTTCTTAAAACTCTTGCAATGATTTCAGTGACTCCACTCTCTCCTGGTTCACCTCTTCCCTTTTTGACTTCCCTTCTCACTTTTCCCCTCTTATAATTTTAGACAATCAACCAGCATATTAATAGGTACCAAATTGAGTCTTATTCTTGGGCTTCCTTGGGTCATAGGCCCATCCCTGCACCAGTCACAGTGGCTAATGAGTTGGAATACGATGGCCATCCAGGTATGAGCCACCTGTGCACTCCTGGAAAACAGGGATTGGGAGGAGAGTTGATCTCACTCACCCTAACCAAATAACTTAGAATGGGGAAAAGTGGTATCCCAAAATAAAACTAGGGTGCCCTTACTGAAGAGGAAGCAGGCAAAAAAGCACAGATACTCAATACAATAGACATTCAAAAAGGTTTGCTGTTAACTGAATGTAGTTTTAATTAAAACAGTACTTCACCCTTTCTACGGTGTGCTAAATGTTTCTATAAAGTTTTTAAAACTGAAGTGACAATCATAACTATTGATTATATGTGTAATTACCACACAAATCTTTAACACTTACATTTATCAAAGACTGTGAAAAATATTTTTGTATGCATCCAAGGCTATATAGCAAGTACATAGACTCTGGAATCTAATTGCCTGAGTTGGTTTTATTTTTTATGCACATTAATTATGAGAATTTGAGTAAGTTCTCTACCCTCTTTCTGTCTCAGTTTCCTTTTTTTGTAAAATGGAGTCGATCATAATTACCCCCTCTGAAATCTCATGAAATGCAATGAGACAATAACTATGCCTTTATAACGGGACTTGTTACCTAGTACTCTATTATGTTTATTTATTGTTAACCACATTTATCTTTCACAGCATCGCTGGAAACTATTTTGGGTAGTCATACTCTGAGCATTTATTTTTCTCTCAACAAATAATCAGTATCTATTATGTTATCAGTACAATTACCCAGATAAACATCATGGGTCCTTTATACCCTCAAGGAGTCAAGGGAGGATTCCCATAGTTCAGCCAGGTTGGTGTAGGGCACTCCATTCAGTGGAACATAGAATGGAAAGAAAGGCACAGAGAAAAAAAGGCATAGCACCTTACACATCACAAGGTATTACAATCACACCCAGTAGTGTAGCCCTGAGTGTGTTCAGAAAAGTGTACCTGGAAAAGTACACAGAAGTCTAATAGGAAGAACTTTGAAGGCCATGTGGATTTTGAAGGTCATTTGGACTTTAACCTCTATGTATGATGAAATATTGAAAACTTTTAGACTCCAGAATTATTTTCAAATTTGTAGAAGGAAAGCACATCCCGGGTATGTGAGGTGTGACAGAAAAAGGCAAATGTCAGGGGTAACAGTTAAGAAACTAGGCAATTGCAGCAGACCAGTGTTTCTCAAATTTTAACGTGCACCTGAATCAGATGAGAGCTATTTAAAACATATATTCCGATTCAGTAGTGCTGGGGTGGGGCCCTAGAGTCTGCATGTTTAATAAGCTCCCAGGTGATGTCAGTGCTGCTGGTCTCCAGCAAGGCAAGAGACTATTAAAACACTGCCAATGCTGTTTCCAACAAAAAGAAATTTATATCTAATGTACATTGAACTTTTAAGTCCTCATGGAGAAATAATTTGCAGCTCATAAAGCTGTCACCACTAATTGAAGAACTATTGTGTGCCACAAGCCAATAAAGTAGAAATATTTTATCTTGATTCTTAAGATATCTCTGAGAAGAAATCCCCTTAAAGCCTGAACGCTCAAGTGAAAATTACTTTGTTGTGTGTATGAGGAGGCAGTTGTGGTGAGTGAAAGAAGTATAATATAGGATACTGTGACGGTATTTTTTTTTAATTTTTTAAAAATGTTTATTTATTTTTAAGAGAGAGAGAAACAGAGCACAGGCAGGGGAGGGAGAGACAGACAGACAGACAGACATGGAGACCCAGAATCCGAAGCAGGCTCCAGGTTCTGAGCTGTCAGCACAGAGCCAGATGTGGGGCTCAAACTCACAGACAAGGAGATCATGACCTGAGCCAAAGTCAGATGCTTAACCAACTGAGCCACCCAGGTGCCCCTGTGATAGTCTTTTTGATGTTGTTAACTTGACTCAGCTACAGTGTCCAGTTATACAAACACTAATCTAAGTGTTGCTATGAAGATATTTTGTAGATGTGATTAAAGTCCATAATCAACTGACTTTAAGCAAGAGAGATTATCCTAAATAATCATGGAGGGCCTGGTTTAGTCCATTGGAAGACTGAAAAAGCAGAGCTGAGGATTCCCTGAAGAAGATATTCCACCTGTGGACAGAAGCCTCAGACCATGACTAGTCCAGCTTGCCTTTCCTGACAGTCTGCTTTCTGGATTTTGGACCTGCCTAGCTAGTCCCTACAACCACATATGCCCTGCAATAAATATCTTACTATGTATCTCCTACTGGTTCTGCTTCTCTAGTTGAACTCCAAAAGATTTTAGTGACTAAAAACAGAGTGCTGCTATAACAAAAACTCAAAAAATGTGGTAATGGTGTTAGAATTAGTCAGTGGGCAGAAACTGGAAGAATTTTGAGACACATGATGGAAAAAGCCTACCCTGTCTTGGACTATTAGTAGAAAGACAGTTGTTAACAACTCTGCTAGTGAGGACTTAAAGGAAGCAGGGAGCGTGTTATTGGAAATTTGAGGAAAGGAGATCCTTGTTATGTAGTGGCAGAAAGCTTAGCAGGATTGTGTCCTGCAGTTTTGTAGAAAGCATAACTTGGATACAATTTAATTGGACATATAGCAGAGGGGATGTCCAAGTAAAGTGTTGAAGATGTGTCCCGGCTTCTTCCTGCTACCTACAGTAAAATTTAAGAAGAAAAAATAAATTGAAAAAAGAATTCTTAAACAAAAAGGAACCAGGATTTGATGATTGAGAAATTCTTGGCTCAGCCAGTCTCTGAAAGGTACAAACATTGAGAGATTTGTGGCCAGGAAGGCCAAAAATATGGCTGGTCAACCTTTTGCTAATACTTCAGAAGGAATAAAAAAAATCAGAGTATTCAGTCACACAGTGGCTCTTTGAAGAGATTAAGTATGTGACTCATAAATTCCCTCATATCCCCCAAATAGAAATGGTATTATCTAGGGAAGATCTATGGATAAGCCTCTTCTTTTCTGGAGTGAATTCCTTGTAACATACATAGGACACCTATAAGGTTCTTGAGAATTTTATACAGTGGAAATTCTGCCAGCTTGTATTTAAAGAGATAGAAAAAGCTGCTGGACCCCCAAATTCTAGGTACAGGAAACAGGCTGATAAAACTACACAGCTTGTACTACAAAACAGACAAAAATCCTGGGGCCCATCGTAGACCTAATGAACAAAAGTCTCTGGGGTAGGGAAAGAGAACTCTGTGCTTTAACGGGCATGCCAAATGAAATCAGAGATAATTAGCTTTTGGAGAAAGGCAAGAATGATAGTTTACTTCCAACACTGAATAGACAACGATGAAGACGTGATAGATTTTTCTATATAGACCCTGTAAGCCAACTAAAATCAGCAAGTGGAAAGCACAGGTAGCCAGATTTAAACCAAATCAAAGGAATCACTTCCAGCTATCATAGCCATTAGAAGCAGAGTAGGCTACCAGTGAGACAACGAGCTCTTCATCAGTAACTATTTTTAAATAGAGACTAAAGGATTGTCCATCAGAAATACTGCAGGACGACACTGGGTAGGAAAGACCTTAGATCAGAATGACGGTAATTAGGGCTGCACATATCAAAGAATCTAAGGCTTGGAGCTGCAACTTCAGAGTATTTACGTGAAGAGGTTTTGGGCTGTAAAAAACAAGTTATGTAGTAAAAATGTTACCTACTATCCAGGGAGTTGATTCACCATTCACAGAGCATGAACAATCCCTCCAAAAATGAGGATTGCTTTACCTATTGCATCTGCTATTTTTTAAAAATTTTAAAGTTTATTTCTTTATTTTG